TGGAAGAATAATTTATGGTAAAAAAACTTCAAAAACTTCAAATTGGTTGAAAAAAATGCATGTTTATGTAAGGCTCCCCTTAATTCGAAAATCTCTATTTTCAGGCACAGGCTCATATAAATTTGACTTTTGAAAAATTGTAATAAATCTGATAAATCAAATGAGTGTTCAGTTGCTTTTAATACTTAATATATTATATTTAAGAGCATTTAAAAAGCAAATTTTTGCAATATTTAAATTTTTTAAGCTTAAATCTTGATAGTTGAAATTATTTGATTTAAACGTCAAAGTTAAACATTCAAATTTCAATATTAAAATGGCCATAGTTTCTATAATGTATATCCTATGGCCATGAAACTTGGCAAACTATCTTATAATTCCCTAAGCTTAAGTCATGCAAAGTTTTATTAGAATTGGTCAAGTCTTTCTATTCTATTAGGTCCGAGGACACAGTTATCGTCCTTAGATTTTCATAGTCCCTAGTGTGGACAGTGTATAACTTGCTAATTTTTTTCATACACTTTCCAAATTTATTTCTTTATATTTTATGCATGAAATATTAAGTAAGGGGATGAAATTACATGTTAAACAAATTTGGTAGCTGAATCTTTATGTTAAGCAGTGGTTTGGTCCAGTTAAAAAAGGTCAAAAACTAGTATGTCTGAAGCTGTCAAACTGAATTTTAGACCCCCTTAACATAGAATTGTCAATATTTTGAGTCAGAGCTGGTAGAATTTTCTATAATTTTGATATTATTTGTCTCAATAGTAGTACACTACACTGTAAAAAAATTTTTGAGATAGAGCAGGTGCGATATTTTTAATTTGACTTTATTGTCTAAAAGAAATGCACTACGAAATAACTGTGTTCTCGGGCATAAGAGATGAATTCAGGAAATGTAGATTCTGTACTTTGACAACGTCCCTGAATGGTTTCCTGGTATCAATTTATTTGTCAAACTCAATAAAAGTAAAGGATTTACATCTTTATTTGAAAGAATTTTTGTAAAAATGTCCCATTTGACATTATACAGCTAGAATAAGCATTTGAAAGCAGTTTCCATTTTTAAGCCTAAGAGGCATGCTTACTTTCTATCTGACAGTTTTTTATGCTTTGATATTTGTGTTTCTATGATTAATTCAAATTCTATTAACCATTTGTAAACTCTGAATATAGAGAAAAGTAGATTATCACAGAAAAAAATGTGCAAAATGTGTTGTATTTAGACCCTGGTCAAACGGCCTGTTTAATGTATGTGAAATGTGAAGAGCTTTGTACATAAAATGTGTAGTCCATCATAAATATTTCACTAAATATGTAAAAAAAGCACTTGACAATGATCTGTGCACCTTATCCATTTCATATACTACCTTTATTTTCTTCTGTAGGATAGTATGTGGTTCAAATATATGCCAGTTGAGACTAAAACTATATGCAAGTTTTCCATTGAAAAGTGAAAAAACTGTGCATCAGACCATACTGTCCAGACTTGGGGTCAATTACATTGGAATGTAATTAATTAAATTACACATTACATTGCAAAAATGATCAATTACACTAATTACCATTACACAGTTTTTGATATGTAATTAATTAAATTACAATTACTTTACTAAAGTAATTAATTAAATTACACATTACATTTGATCATAGTTTTTTCAAACAATATATATAGCATGTGAAAAAGATTCATGTAAGCTTACAACATAGTTTTAGCATTGCATTTGATCATCATTTGCAGTTTTTAATGTTTTGTCATTTAGTCTGCATCTCTTTGGTCTGAACACTTTGCGAGCAATTCTAAATAGTCTTTCGACAGGAGCTGATGTTGCATGTATTGCTAGATCATAAGATGTGTTGATAGAAGAGGGAATTTGTTCCTATTAACTTGCCAATACATTGAGGGGTTTATTGACATCTCAGAAATGAAGTCATTAAATTAAACATAATATAAATTAAAAAATTATAAATAAATTTAAAAATGTCTCAATTTTTTTTTTACTTTACATTATTAAAAAGTATGCTTGTTACAATATTGAAAATGATATTTAGTACAAACAATGTATAATGTCTAAATATTAGCAATATTTTGCTAATTAGATAAAATACATGTAATAGTGGCATTGTCCCTAGGCTATTTTATTACACATTTTAATCTCATTAATTGCTGTTTGTTTTTTCAGCTGATAATTTTATTTCTATAATCCTTTTGTGTATACTAGTTTGACAAAACGATTGTGTGTAGTGATTTAAAATTCTAAATGAACTGTGTGATTCTCACTTTTTTTTTTAAATTATAAGAGTATTGAGCAAACCATTCTGTATGTCAAATAAATAACATTGAAAAAAAAATAGGGAAAAAAATACAGACTTGTGTATTAAATAAGTATGTACCTGATATATTAATATTTGTAAAATAAATGTTATTTTACAACTTATATTAACATAATTTCTAATCATTATCACCATAAAAGTGCATGTAATTCAAATGTAATTCAAAAGTAATTTAGCATTACATGCTTTTTTCATTGTAATTAATTAAATTACCATTACATGTAATTAAAAGAATGCTCAATTACACATTACATTCAATTACATGGAACATTACACTTAATTACCATTACATTTTCAATTACCCCATCCCTGATACTGTCTGCAAAAAAAGTTGAATGCAAGAGTCCTTTTGCAATTAGACTTCTTGTATCATGACATCTTAGCATAGAAATGAGCAAAAAGTAACAAATTTCCATTTCTTATAGCTTCTGTATGCATTTTTATATGTAAATATGTGCTACGGCCTAAATTGACTCTTACATAGCCTAAGACCATTTTATATTCATTTGGTATGCTTTTTGTTTTCTTTCCATTTAGAGTACATTAATATATATGGAAGAATAATATATCGTAACTACAATACCCTTCCCTTTTCACGAATGTGACTTACCGAATTAGACTATTTACCGGATTTGTAATAACATAAGCAACTCGACGGGTGCCACATGTGGAGCAGGATCTGCTTACCCTTCCGGAGCACCTGAGATCACCCCAAGTTTTTGGTTGGGTTCGTGTTGCTTAGTCTTTAGTTTTCTATGTTGTGTCATCTGTACTATTATTTGTCTGTTTGTCTTTTTATTTTTGGCCATGACGTTGTCAGTTTGTTTTCGATCTATGAGTTTGACTGTCCCTCTGGTATCTTTCGTCCCTCTTTTATGGTAAAAAAACTTCAAAAACTTCAAATTGGTTGAAAAAAATGCATGTTTATGTAAGGCTCCCCTTAATTCGAAAATCTCTATTTTCAGGTACAGGCTCATATGAATTTAACTTTTGAATAATTGTAATAAATCTGATAAATCAAATGAGTGTTCAGTTGCTTTTAATACTTAATATATTATATTTAAGAGCATTTAAAAATCACATTTTGGCAATATTTAAATTTTTTAAGCCCAAATCTTGATAGTTGAAATTATTTGATTTAAATGTCAAAGTTAAACATTCAAATTTCAATATTAAAATGACCATAGTTTCTATAATGTATATCCTATGGCCATGAAACTTGGCCAACTATCTTATAATTCCCTAAGCTTAAGTCATGCAAAGTTTTATTAGAATTGGTCAAGTCTTTCTATACTATTAGGTCCAAGGACACAGTTATCGTCCTTAGATTTTCATAGTCCCTAGTGTGGACAGTGTATAACTTGCTAATTTTTTTCATACACTTTCCAAATTTATTTCTTTATATTTTATGCATGAAATATTAAGTAAGGGGATGAAATTACATGTTAAAAAAAATGGGTAACTGAATCTTTATGTTAAGCAGTGATTTGGTCCAGTTAAAAAAGGTCAAAAACTAGTATGTCTGAAGCTGTCAAACTGAATTTTAGACCCCCTTAACATAGAATTGTCAATATTTTGAGTCAGAGCTGGTAGAATTTTCTATAATTTTGATGTTATTTGTCTCAATAGTAGTACACTACACTGTAAAAATCTTTTTGAGATAGAGCAGGTGGGATTTTTTTTTAATTTGACTTTATTGTCTAAAAGAAATGCACTACGAAATAACTGTGTTCTCGGGCCAATAAACTCATCGTAGATAACAGGATTAAAATTTAGATCTGTTTTTGTTCAGTCAATAATGAAAGTGAAATAGTGAAATAATAATTCGCTTTTAGCAACAAGTTTTGTCAAAATAAGAAACATCGCTGATGAAATAGTCACTTGGAAGTGAATAATTTGACCTCATTAAATCCGTAACTGGTGACCTTCAATTTAACTTAACCCCTTAGCTAGAGATGGGTTATGCATAAACTAGGCGTGTTCAGCTATTAAAAGGAAAAGAATATCAACATTGAAAGTGAAACAAGGGTCCACCATTTGGTTGACTGATTCGATCCACAAAAACTCATTCTTATACAGAAAAAACAATGATTAATACATTTTTAACCTATAATATGAAACTAAACAGACCTAGAAAAATCCAATTGCACGTGTTCACTATCTATTTATATCTTTATTTATGTATATATCGGGTTATATGACCATCTGCAGTCTTCGGAGGTCACCTCGATGGTTAATTAGATGGCGTATAGACTAAAATACACACGAAATGCGGATACATATTATCGAGTTCATGCATCGTAAATTATTTATTTTAGACTTTTCAGATTTGGATATACGTTTTAGTATGTTATAAATTAAAAATGAAAATTTGAGTCAAATCGATGAACATGAATTTGACAGATAATGCCCCCTTTAACATCAAATTGCATATTAGGCAGAATAATTTAGTGTTTTGACATGCTTAGTTTTACATTATAATGATGAAAACAATTTTCAAAACAAAACAATTCACCAATTCACCTTTGGAGTTGGCTATGCACAAATGGATAGAAGTTATTTATATATTTGGTACTTGTATTGTTACTGCCAATCTGTTAAAAACCATCCATTATTGTATTTGATTGATTAATCAAATGATAACATGCATTTATATACTTGTTAAAGATAAATTAAAGCCCTTCGTGTTGTGTTACAAACGGTGGATGTATTTAAGTATCAGTTGAAGAAGGAATTAGAAATCACACTAATGTCAAAGGTAAATTGTACATGTAAATGATCATTTTACATTTTAAAAATTGTATTTCATAACCAAGATTTTTTGTTTTATTTCCAAGCTGATAAGTTTGCAACATTTATCACCTTCTAGGATGAAATATTCAAGTTCGAAATTATTATTTGATACACAAACACATCGAAACTATCCTTCTTTTTTATACAGAAATCGTTTAATTGAATATTTTTGTCATACTTCGGATAAACAATTCACATTTAGATTCTAAACATGCATAGCAAACTGTTAATCTGGTATCTGTGATGAGTTAATGGTACTTCAGTAGAAATATTCAAGTTTAAGCAGTGTTGCTGCTTCAACTACATATTGAACTTCCGATCTCATTGCAAACGATATATAATTTAAAATAAAAACGTTATATCGTTTGTGCAGTTATAAAAATCGGTTATAAAAAATAATTGTTAAGCGTATTGTGTCTAACTGTATTGTATCATGAGCTTTGGTTAATAGCTTACATCAATTAGGAGCGAGCAAAATTGTGTACCGACTTTTATTTCCTTGTTCCAGTTATTTTCATGCTGATAGCCGCTTTGTGTAGTTATTTCCTTGTTCCAGTTATTATCATGTTGGTAGCTGCTTTGTGCAGTTATTTCCTTGTTCCAGTTATTATCATGTTGGTAGCCGCTTCGTGCAGTCTTTAAGTAAAGATATTGGGTATTATACGTAGAAAACACAATAACCAAATGCCACAAACATTTGCGAAATGTTTAGTCAAAATATTGCGATGTCTAATATGCCTGTCTAAATGTTTGTTTTGTTTCTGCATTTTGCACCGCGATTGTCGTGTACAATAGTAACAGTGTTTAATAGTTTGTCTTTATTGTTCACTTTAGTCTGTTGGTTGTTAATACTCAGCATATTTGTTCTCAAATTCACAGATGGAGCATTATATCTCCTTCTAGCAAAGCATTCTGCTAAGCATGTCTTACACTTGAAGTGAGGTATAAACGTTAAATGCATCACTGTGACTTGAGAAAAAGAATAACAATAAAAGAGATGTTCAGTTGTTTTTTAAAATGATTGTGAGGTTCCTGAATTAATAAACCATATCTTATTAGCCTGAAAAGTCTGTAGCTTTAATATGACATTGACATTTCATCTTGCAATTTTAGTTACAGTTTTCCTTCTCAGTACTGGACAGATTTATCCACGATGTTCAAAAACCGGTTGCACATCCAACTGCTGGCGATGCTAAACGGGCTTCTTCTGCCATTGACGACATCATAAATAATGTTCCACTGATCGATGAATTAAATGTGAGATTTAATTTTGTATTAAGCATGGTCAAGTAAAACTTACAAACAACTAACAAACTATGATTCTGTTCTTGGACCTGTACAGGAAGTTTTATCTAGCACTAATTGTATATTTTTATTGTTGATATTAACCCCATATGTATCAAGTGTTAGATTAGTTTTATTGATATTAAAGAAATTTCTTGGTATTCCTAAACGGAAGATTTTATACACACAGAAGAAGTAGTATACTTAACAACAAAATTATTTTCATTTACCTGTGTATAATATGACGCAGGTTTCTTCAAAAGTGATGATTTTCTATAAATTGTTTGAAATTTCACAGTGATATCATACTTTAACTTTGTTTAAACCTGTTTATTTACTTTTGACTTTAATTATTTATCCCTTGTAATTTTTTATTAACTGTGTATTTGCATTCAGGTGTCACAGGTCAAATTTATTCGTTCATTGTGTGTTAATTTACGTTTTTTGATTGAGTTAAGCCTTCCAATTGATATTTTATAGTGTGTTTTTCTATGTTGTGATGTTATACTATTGGTTCAGAAAAGGGAGAAGGTTTTGTACCATTAAAACGTTTAATCCCGCTGCAAATGTTTGCATCTGTCCTAAGTCAGGAATCTGATTACAGAAGTTTTCGTCTGTTTATGTAGTTCATACGTGTTTCTCGTTTCTCGTTTTTATATAGATTAGACCGTTGGTTTTTCCGTTTGAATGGTTTTACACTAGTAATTTTTTGGGGCCCTTTATAGCTTGCTGTTCGGTGTGAGCCAATGCTCCGTGTTAAAGGCCGTACCTTGACCTATAATGGTTTACTTTTATAAATTGTAACTTGGATGGAGAGTTGTCTCATTGGCACTCATACCACATCTTCCTATATCTATGAAACAAATTTTAAAGATGTTACCATTAAGTAAGGCTCAGACAAAATTGCTATGTCTATCAGATGCTTTAGCTTAGGACAACATTCATCCGAAATTTATTTGATCAAAATACTGTTATTCCATTATTGGTGATTAAATGTATATTTTCGAAATATTAGGTGAACTTAGTGGTAAAATTTTCTCTCGGGGTAAAGTACAAAATCATTCAGATTCCGGCAAATGATCTTTCGACGAAGAGTGCTTTTTTTCCCATTTACTTCTTAATATATTCAGAAGGAAAATTCTTGTTACTTTTTAGACTAGAAGAGTATTTTACTTCATTAAAATGAAAATCCAAAGAAAATAATAAAAGAAATGTACAGTAACAATATTAAGAAAACACGGTATCTGCACAATTCATTTTAATAATAATAACAAAATAAAGTCAGCATGACTTAATATATAATGTATTAGATAGTTCTTCTGGGTTGAAAACAATAATGAAATTATCCCTTTTTTTGAATGCCAGTTTGTCGAAATCAGAATTTCAAAATAGTTGGTTATGCGGCGTAAATCTTGAAAAATCTAATTTGACATGTTTCCAAATAGGTTATAATAGAAAATGTACTAAACTCCAAGAAATTTTTTAAAGTCCAAAGTAACTGACAAAAACAAAAATACATTTTAAACATGTAATGATACAATAAAAGGAATGTCTGATTTTAATTTGGTACATACACTTTTAATAGACAGAACATAGTTTTATGATGGCGCTCATTTTCGGTATTTGAAGGTATATAAGAAGTTCCATCTCTTCAATCGATCTTACAAATCCAAGTCACTATGTCATCTTTTAAATGACGAAAAAGTTCCATCAATACCTGTTGAAACCCTCACGACACTTTACATTAACTTTATCAATATGATTTAATATTTCAAAGGTGAAAGGCTTGCGAGATCTAATCAAACTTGCAGAAAAAGGAAAGTTCACAGACATGAAAAACAAAGCCAGCGAAGCTATTTCTGATTACCAGATAATTGAATCATTTTACAAGAAAAAGGTTCGTTTATAGATTCCAATGTTTTATTTGGTATTCTCTAGTTTTTTGTTTTGGAAAGTAGTAGATATTTCATAACACAGAACACTATACATATATGATGAGTTTTCCAAACAAACGCGTGTTGCTTGTCTATGGGTAGTGTGATTTAGAAAAAGACACTAAATGGACACATTTAGCAGACCCGCGCCTTTTCCTTAACTGTCGGCCTACATAAATGTAATCAACATCGAGAACAGATATTCTGTAATATATGTGGTCGGATTTCCCTCACCACATTGATTAAAATAAGCAGATGTGGTGATTGCCAACGACACACCTATTAACCAATAGAACACAGGACAAGAATGTAACAATTACATGTCACCACACGACCTGCAAATATGAGCATAAACATTACCGTTTATTACGCTATAGAAGGATCCGAATAACAAAATGTGAACCAATTGATAAAACAGATGAAAAAAAAGAAAAAAAAACATTTATTACAGACGGCAACAAACTGGATAACAGGTTATTGTATTGAATGCAAACCGCTCCAAATAACCAGGGTTTTCTCCAGCATTTACATTAAATACTATGATTATCTCAGAATACTATTTTTATATATTTTTTTTAAATATGTGTTTCTCTTGATGTATAGTGTGATTTAAAAACATATCGAGAGTAAAGAAATTATAAAAAAAATGTTAGGATATAATGGATGTTATTATATTTTATGATCCGAAATACCTGTAACTTTCATAAAGGATTTTGCAGGTTCTGCCCACAGCGGAAAGTTTAGAATCAAATGATAAGGAAAAGCAACCAAAATTGAAAGAGGTCACCGATTCATTGTAAGTACCTTCTCTTCCAGGTGCTATCAAAATATTATAGTTGATCAGAAATAAATGAAAAGGAACTATTTTTCAATCTTGAGAAAAAAAATGAGAAATCAAATTCTTAAATGATTTACTTTAATTTATTCTAAATCTAAAGTAAGGTTGATTACTTATCAAAATTGAAACTGCCTTTAAACAAACGGATGAAATATCATTATATTATAAAATTAACTGTTCTATAAGAAGAGTTTTCTGTTTTATTTCGATGTTGATTTTCGAGTTTTCAACCTTGTTTTCATTAATACAAGTGTTAACTTTATTTAAGACTGAACCCATCTTATGAGCTTATGAATACATATACATCAGATGACAGACCACATGGTCAGGATTTGGTCAATAGCAGACTTCTGCATCAACATAACACCACAGAAATAAACGAAAGGTATAAATGTGTGTAATATTTTACAGTCTTAATATTAATTGTTTAACTTATTGAATAAAAAAAGATAAGCAGTATGACAGTACGACTGACGTTTTATCTATTTTTTTCTTAATGATGCATAGCTCAGAGAAGAGTTTGTTAGAATCCACGTTTTCTAAGTGATTTGCACATCCCTTAAATAAGATATAACAAGAATGTGTCCATAGTACACGGATGCCCTACTCGCACTATCATTTTCTATGTTCAGTGGACCGTAAAATTGGGGTCAAAACTCTAATTTGGCATTAAAATTAGAAAGATCATATCATAGGAAACATGTGTACTAAGTTTCAAGTTGATTGGACTTCAACTTCATCAAAAACTACCTTGACCAAAAACTTTAACCTGAAGCTGGACAGACGGACGAACGAACGAACGAACGGACGCAGAGACCGAAAAACATAATGCCATTAAGATGGGGCATAAAAATAATCTGGTATAATTGACAATGTTACAACTTTCCGCCAGGGACCAAATGACGTAGAAGTAAGCAACTATGGGGCCGTCAACAATGAGCATAACCCATACTGCATATAGCAAGATATAAAAAAAAAACCGACATAACTATGTAAAACAAACTAATCAACAAAGTAATAAACGAAATTATTTGGGTATCTTCTGTACGGAATATGTCTTGCGAAAATGTATCTTAAAGAAATGATCAATACGAATAAAACATTATACGCAATTTATGAAACACGACGGCCTAAGAAGAATAAAACGAGGACAAAGTAAGATCTTCGAAACATAAACAAATGTTCACAATATTTATAAATATATGTATATCAATATCAAAATTGCAACTAGTTCCTAGGTTTGATAAACATTACCGAAAGAGGTTTACATGACGTGTTTTAAACATTATAGTTTGAGATAAATATCAAATTGCTTTCGTACAGAAGAAGTCAAGACGCAAGCCTTTCAATCCATAACCAGAATCCGATGATCACGGACATATCCGATATCAACAGACCTACAAAGGTAGCGGAACAATTCTCTGCCCTGTATGACAATGAATGGACAGACACTTTTGATGCCATTGCTAGGTTGGAGGGACAGAAGGCAAATATAGAAAAAGAAATCATTATTTATCTGGATGATGTTCTAAGGGTAGTTATTATTAATATTGTTCAGTGAAATTTATATGTAAGAATTTATGCTTTGGTTGCAGGTGGATTGTCAGTCCAAAGGGGTTACTGACACCCCGTAGCTAGTGTCTCTATACTGGCATTATTTAAATTATTTTATATTTTCTATATTTTTGTACATTATTTGATTATACTTAAACTAAAGCAGTATTTCTTAAAAGTCAACGAGACAGCAATATAACGACCAAAACCAAAAAAAACAAAAAAACAAAAAAATGCATCTATATATAAAGTTGGGTGTTTGAAATTTTGTATCTGTTCTTGAGTTGGATGACCTTGCTTTTCAATGTTGTATGTGTTTTATGCCTTCCAAAACTTTAGGTCTCGAGTGTCCTTATTATATAGTAAATGTACGGTATATATATTACTGCCGACAGAGTTGTCAAGGAATTACAATGATTGTAAATTACTTTAGAACATGCACATGTATTTTTTTCAAAAATATTTTTATCTTTTCCATAAGTGCATATATAAACTATATTGTATTCTAAAAATAATTTCGAGCTTGTAATGAGGTATCTTATATTATGTATATATATTGTTTTAGAATATTTACGTGTATACAGTAAAACGAGTTCCAGCTCTAGTAGACAATATCGCACTACAATTGGAGCAAACAATGTTGGATCCAGTAAGCAGTACCAAAGAAAAAGTACGATTTTATATTTTTAACCTCAATGGATAAACCTACCATTTTATAGTTAAAAAAACTCAACAGTTGACTCAAAGAATTGACTATGAGCTTTTTGTGACAATCAAGGCAGTACATTTAGTTGTACTATTAAACAATGATGTGTTATAGGAATTATATGAATGAAGTTTCGATACGGATAAGCGATAAGTATAAGAATAAAACTGATTCAAAATGATAAATTTCATAGCGACTTTTTTCAACTTGCGTGTTGGCGGAGGTACAGTAAGATCAATCCTTTCTATTATGATTATTCATCATTGCTTTGACAAAGAAAAACAATATCTGAATTCAGAATATCCGGCAATGTGTTAATATTATTTAGTGTCTTTCCTAGTATTAAAATTTACCACTTTCTTTCGACAAATATATATGTATAAAAACTATAAGTTGGTAAGAGTATATAAGTAGTGGTATGAATTCAATAATATTTTAGAAATGTAGGAGAGGAAATAATATAATTTAATTAATTCATTGTGTAATCTGTTCGACTTCTTTATTTAAAGGTTACCAATCCAAGTGTGATACACAACAGCAAGTTTCAGCGATACGCTAAGACTTGCGTCAAAGAGACTGCAAAATTAAGCATTCAAGCTCTGATACAGGTAATGTGTGTACAATAGAGGCAATACAGGTTACAAAATACAAACGTAATTTAATATGGACGAAATGAAATGATGTTCATTATGATGCAGGCCCTCAGGGCAGATACATGTACAACGATCAAATTTTAATCAAAGAAATAGCGTTAAAGATACCTCTATCAATTACTTAGGACTAATATAACATAATTCGATGGATTTTTTTTTTTTTGATTTTTTTTTATTTTAAAGTGAAGAGAATGATTTGAAACTGTGTTATGTTGGAATGTATATGTCACATAGTATTGGCTACACATGTAATCAAGTAGGTGGTACATGTATATTGGAAAGTTTTATTGATGCTATTACGGTGAAAAGCGACTGTGTTATTTGAATAGAAAGAGAAGAATGTTGAAAATCAAAAATATCAGTTACTGGAACGGAAACAGAAAAACATTAAAAATTACTTTTAATATGCCTAGCGAAAGCCTGACATAGGCTTGTAGGTTTAAATTCAAAATGTTCAATGTTCACTGTATACCAAATATGGCCTTGGAATTCAACTTTCTCATATAAATAAATATCAAAATGGTCATAATTTGGTTCTTAAATGGATCTATTTCAAAATCCTTCCTACTAGGTAAAACAAATCTCTTCATTAGAGTACATTTTAGGCTTTAAAGTCAGCACATTTTGGATATATTGTGAAAAACGATGATTTTGTGCATTTCTCGGACCTAAAAGCTTGAGGAAAACCATGGCTGCAACCTAGGATCCAAAATGTCCTTTAACCAAAAGTTGCGAATGATGATATTGAATTCCTAGACACAAAAACGTTTTGGATCAGGGGTGACGACCAAAGTAAATTATGTTAATAACTGTTAAAATTTATTGAAAATTTGACCAAAACTGACGTTACAGCACAAATAATGCATACTGGAGGGGTCATTTCCTCGTCATTTTTAATGTGATGAGCCAAAAAGAAGTTATGTTGTGTTAATAGTATATAGTTATATCATAACTATTTCTATGTAGTATTTTGGCCTGATTAAAAAGCATCAAAATTTTTAGGGTCAATTTTAAACCTTCTTAAATAACTCCTTTCAATCCCATTTTAACCTTTCTTCCAATGCAGGATAATAAAGAGCAACCGTTTCTAAAATGGTTATATTTTGATAACATACTGATAGAACTAAAATAATTAATCATGTTTAAATTATTATGTTTATTTTAGGATTTCAAAAAGACAGAACTACGTCCGAGCCTTCAAAAGTACCAAGACAACTTTGGTGTGAATAAATATATAGACAAGTGTATAGAAATATGCTGGTTTATGAATGTTCTTGATCCCCCTATGGTACTAAAATGGCCTATGGAACATCAAGAGGCAGAAGATTTAGCTGAAAATTTTAGACATTATACAAAAGCTGGAATTCAGTTGGATTTTGCAGTGTGGCCTGCACTTCTGTTCTATGACCAAGGTCCTTTAGTTGTGAAAGGAGTGATGCAAATGAAATGATGTTTTGCAACTTGTCGGTTCATGCACGGTGTTCTAGCATTAAAACTTCAAATTTTGAGTGATTGATAAAATTTATATAATTTCAATATTTAGTTTATATATGATTTTCATACGAAGTGCTCAAAGACAAATAACTCTTGCTATCTACTGTTCAAAACAAACCTCATTATACCGAATCAATGACATTGTATTTCACATTTGAATGAACAGCCAATTGTTCAGCTTAAATGTACAATAGCTTCTTTTGAAATGTATTAGCCTATAAAGATTAAATAAAGATAGTGAATATGTGAAAGAATATATAATATGTAGTCGTCAGTAGGTTTGTTGTCTTAACTTGTTAATCACCCGTTAATTGAAATAAATTTAAATACCGATAGCCTGTATTCTATAAATAACAAACCTGTTTTGGGGAAACTCATCGAATTTGTAGAATACAACGATGAAATTGACTTCCTGGTAAATATTTTTAATACTTTATTAGATGGTATTGTTCGGTTAAAAACAAATATTTGCTTATAGTCTATTATTTGCACGAAAAGGTTATAACACACGCATATATCATATACATTAAAATAACTGGCACCATACAGGTTTCGGGCATAATCGTTGAGTCAAAACCATAAAGTTTGAACTTAATCATGTTAATATTATGCACACGTTAAATATAAATTTTATTGTATAGAAATGTTCTGTATTTCTTCTGTTGTGCTGTCTGTGGGAGATCCTTGTAACGAAAATGCAATATAATAAATTGGTTCTAAAGGCATACTAATTGATTATTGATACACGAGAAAGAGGTAGGGCAAATGCCCCATAATTCATTTCACATCTGGAGCATTTTCGAAAAATATTTCTTGAAAATCAATGTTTAAAGCTAAATTGATAAATTAATTGTTGTTTTCCTAACGTCCAGTGGCAAATATTTCACGCATAGTCAGGACTAGAACAAGATTTACATTTAATCCTAGGATGGTTAAGCAAAGTTGGTCGACTGGGACGAAGAGTGAAAATTTGGACTGTTAGTGGCAAAAGAGGCCAAATGGGGAGTCCTCAAAATATTGTTTGAAGGGTTTTTCAACATGCAAAGTGTAGAGCTCCCTACAAGAGGCACTGGATTTACTGACGTCTCATTCCGACTCGGTACGTGTGTGCGTTTTGATACAGCAAGCACAGTCAAAAAGGACCATCTCCCCTTTAACATTTACCACTCTATTCTATTATCATTCTACATTATCTATAATAGTATTAAACTGTAAGACTAAAAACTAATTTCTAATATATACATTCCAAATTTTGGGGAAAAAAAATTCCACAAACGATGATTATCAATATAATTTGTGATTAACTCTTGGCTTTTGAATGGTACTTAGATATAAGAAGATGTCGTATGAGTGCCAATGAGACAACTCTCCATCCAAGTCCCAAATTATAAAAGTAAACCATTATAGGTCAAAGTACGGTCTTCAACACGGAGCCTTGGCTCACACCGCACAGCAAGCTATAAAGGGCCCCAAAAATTACTAGTGTAAAACCATTCAAACGGGAAAACCAACGGTCTAATCTATATAAAAAACGAGAAACGAGAAACACTTATGAACCACATCAACTACTAAACATCAGATTCCTTGCATATATAATTGGTGATATCAACAAGGTTTTATGTCGCACGTGGAAGTATATCTATACATTCCGATTTCTTTATACACCCATAACCCCCAATAAACGATTTTTTTTAAATAACTCTTACCCATTATCCAACACGTGTATATTTACACATTTCATTGAATGCGACCGTGTACTTCTACATTCCACCTCATTGCAAAAAGAAAAGGGATTGTAAAGATTACTTGTTTCGAATTTGTTTTCATCAATGAACATGCTGAAAACAAATCCAAATCAGTACTATATCTAAAAATAAACATAAGTAGCTGATGCTCAATTGCAACACATACTGGAAATTGTAAAATCTTAATTCAAAACAAACTAACAAATTACAAAAAGAAAAATTCAATACCTTATTTAAAATGATTAAGACCCATAAACGAACTTTGAAAGCTATGCTCTTTTACAATGACCATAAAACCAAGGATATCTTGGCTGTTATGGCGATTGTATTATATAACCATGTTATGTATTAACTATTTTCTTGTAGAAGGAGATCAGCAATGGACTCCAACAATGAAGGCACCGGTCCATATAAAACAACACTGAAGGTTTCTTTGGTAAATTTAAGCATTTTATTTGGTAACTAGACACAATATACAAAAGACATACATTGCTAGAAAAGAAAGTTATCAATTAAACCAATTGTTTGCCCATAGTCTGTCACGGAAAAGTCGCGCAAGTGCATTTTTTTACGAATAGAAAATAAATGATGATCAAAATTGGGAAAATAAGGTTGACAATACATTAACAAAAGGGATGGAAGGACAGAAAAAAGAGTTCACACAAAACCTTACACAAAAAGGTATAAATTATGCAACAGAAGCAACACGTAAAACCAGAGTGATCGCATGCGCACCTAAATGTTTAGCGTAACTTGTCGCGTTGCACATGTCAAGAGTTCGATGATGAGTTGCACTAAGTTACATGTCATCAAAGAGGCCAAAGAGGCCAGGCAGGAGGGCGATATTGTGACTACGATATATACAACTTATTATAATCCGTATCGTTTGAAAAAAACTTGATAGCAGTCGTAAACGTGTGTTCGATTTATTGATGGTTTTCGAAGTAAAGTAACCATTACAAACCCAGATGTAATTTCCTTGTCAAAAGCGGCGAGCAATAACAAAGATAAAGAAGTCGAAAGAAAACAGACAACCCCGTTGCCATAGAAACGAAGAAAAGGCTAACAAAAGTTCACAAAACACTACACAGAAAAACGAAGTTGATAAGCGCTATACTTTTAACAAATATGAATAAAAAAATCATGTTTTCTGCACTGGGATCGTAATGTCGTTTTCAATAATATTTGTTATTCATTTTACTGTTGAACACATCTATTTCCTACATTTTGTTGTGCAGACTATTCCTTTTCATCCTGTCTTCGGTCGGCTTTTTTATTTCTTCAGTTATTACCATGTCAGAATATTCATTTTCAAACTCCTCCTGTTCCTTCCCCCCACTCGACAACAAAATAAAGTATACATTTTTTTTCTCATTTGTAGTAATATTAATGGTACCAATTTACTGCACCAGATGCACATTTTGACAATAAAAACAGTGATGCTCGAAAAAATAATAAAAGCTTACTAATTTTACTAATATTTTTAATTTACAAACAGCCACATCCACGAAACATTGACAGTGTTTTTGAAGGAGTTATAGTATTTAGACCATCTCAAATATCTATATAGGATTGTGAAATCTGAAGGATACCTAGTGTGGCGTCGTAAAATACCAGACATTACAAAAAAAAATTAAGAGCTGTTAAACCAAAAATGATAAAAGGTGTAGCCAAAGACTGGCAAGGTATCAGAGCTTTGCATCAGGGAGATATATTCTTTAATTTACAAACATTTTGAAAATTTTGTAACAGCAAATTTTAGACTTTCTAGGAATTGCAGTCGTGTACAATGTAAAGAAACACGACTTTCCAAAATTTTCTACGATAAGAAAATAAGATTATACGGTATGATTGACTAATTGCCAATGGCGCAACTATCCACCAGAGTCCAAACGACGTGAATAATTATAAGCAAAAGATTTTTCAAGACCTGTCCGAAAAAGATATGCAGGCGTATCATTTTCATCCAGGAGCAGTCTTGGGTCTCTTGTACCTAAGTTCGTTATAGTTTTTAAAAGTGCATAGATTATATTTCTCTCTTAGTATCTTCGTCTTTCGATTAATTCGCTTATTCTGTAACTTGTTGAAACATAAACTCAATACAAATGTTAATTTTGTTTGAAAATGTGAACTTCTGTTTATTCTGAACAACGATATTAATGGTTTTTTTTATCAAATAGCAAACGAAAGAAGTGGACAAAACAGAAACTACTGCCTCAGAACAGGCTTTAAACAGTACTGCTAGAATACAGAATAGGTATAGTGAAACTAAATTTTGATGGTATACTTCAAATAAATATATCCTGCCAAGTCAAGGCAACATTTGTCTAGTATATTTCAAAATTTATTTTAAAAAATCAATGTCCATATAATTATAGTGTACACTTTTAAGGGGGGAATATCCCCAAAGAATAATCACGGGAAAAGTTGACGTTTGTATGACAGTCATATCTTTTTCAGTTAACTAGACAACGACTGCAGTGTATTAATATATCACGCACAACTAAACGATAATTTCTCAGCAAGTTGTTGGTAGTTCATTTGTGTCCAGAGAATATTATTTGGACATTTAATATTACATGGAACTTCGTTCAAGACCAAAGGTTATAAACTTTCCGGACCAAAAAAAATACGTCCACCATCGAAAATAAATTGGAAAAAGTGTTGCCAGGTATTAGTAATTGACGATGCACTTTCATCCTATTGTACAAAAAGGTGTATCTGATAGAGTCTTGTGAAAAGATTACTTAATTCTTATTTGAATAAATGCATGAATATTGTAAAAATTAACTTGTAACATTTAGATAATAATTTAAAGATTAATAAAAGGTTTAATAATAAGTTAATTTCTAGATTAAGACATAAATTTAAAGTACTTGGAATGCGTTTTGTGTTCGTACTGGCCAACATAGCAGTCAAACATATGGTATTGTAATGACGTAAATACAAAAATATTAAAGAAATTATTATAACGTTTTTTTCAGTGTAGCATATGAAAAGGAATTTATTATTTTTCTAGTGTAAAACCCTTTGGATGTTTTACAATTACTGTTGAAGTTATATTGATTAAAATTTTAGTCTTAGGAAAAACTGTTTATTTATTAGTTGGAATTTGGCTTTGGACTAGCCTTCGGTGAGTGCGAGTACTTTTATTTTTCTTCGGAAAATGTCTGTACCAAGTCAGGAATATGGCAGTTGCATTCACTTGTTCCGTTGAATGATCGTTTTGATTTTGTCCGTTTTTCAGTTTTTATGGACTTTCCTTTTTTCAATTTGCCTTGCAGGTCGGTATTTTTGTTATACTTTTTTCGGTACTTTGTGGTATATATGTCTTTTTGTAAGATGTGTATGTTCTTTAAACCAAGTACTTTCAACCTGAAGTTTTAAAAAATGTTCCTATATTGTACGATAACACCAATCTCCCAGGTTGTAAAAAGAGGGGTTGGATGATCGCTCAGGCCTTTGTTTTTCTCTTTTAAGTTGTTTCATTTATTATCCTGATGCCTTTGACTAATATACGGTATGAGGTTTACTCATTGTTGCAGGTTTTACGGTGATCAGTAAGTAGATATTTACATCTTTGTCCTTTGGACAATGATGCATATAGTTGTCTCATTGGCGATCATTTCACATTCCCTTATTTTTAAACTCTTTCGTATTTCAAAATTCTGCCAGCAGTACTAAACTATAATTACAGAATACCATTATGTAAACGTAATATAATCCCATGAGATGATTATATTATTTATTATCATAAATTTATTTAAAGATATTTTCAGATTCTTATCTAGATCGGAGGCTTGATTGAGAAAATAGTGAAACAATACTTTCCCCAATGTAGAGGGCATTTTTGCATTCCTTGCAAATATTCTTCAAGCAAATAATTAACCCACCATTACCCTACAGTAACTTTTGCTTCTATCATTTAAAGGTTACTTTAGTGATAAAGAAAGCGTGCGCCTTTGGTAAACTACAACCGGCAATAATTCAATGTCTCTTTTTATTCATATTGAAGTGATGTTGCTAAACCAGGTATAATTGACAAGGCAAAGACTGGACAACAGCGAGGAGGAACTAAACATGAAAATAGAATAGTTGGAAATCAATGGAGCGAATGGAAACCGACTGGAATACAAGACTTAGATGCAATCCGTGAAATCATGAAAGAAGCACTAGAAGGTGGACAGTCGTCAATGGATTTACTTAATCAAAAAGTTCAAGAGTTAATCGAAAGGTAAGGGTAAACAAGTTTCTAGTTTGGGGGTATATAAATTGAAAACAGATGTCCAAACAAATCTATTAAATAGACTTTTTTCATATTACCGACTTTTAATTTTTCAACTTGCTACCTATTCTGGTACTCGGTCAAGTAAGAGCAATTAAAAAAGTAAAATCAAGCTTACAATCAGTGAAATTTTTGTCGTGATATAGAAAACATAAAACAGTTATTTTTCCGCAAATTGTTACGAATGTAAGCTTGATTTTTACTTCTTTTTGTTGCTCTTTATATAAACTATTAAATCAGGAGTCAAAAGTCGGTATTATGAAAATATTTCTTATTTATTTAAGAAAATATATTTTGCTTATGGTATAAATACGCTTTTTGTAACGACATACACATTATTACAACTTATACTCGCTTTTAATCAAATCTTAACGATGGGACTACTGTGGAGGTGCTAACTAGAGCTACAATCATTATTTAACCAATTAATGGTGCATTTCAAGACAGCATGAATCTGATGGAAAACACTTGAGGAAAACATGTTTCCAAGTATAACACAGGGATTTAAATTGAAAACTAACAATGCCATATTTTGATTATGATTTATATGTATTAAATTAATTATTTTAAATGTTTGTGTATATATATTTATTATAGTATGTAATTTTGTATACAATAATTCTTATCGATTAACTTTCGTTTAAAAGTAAGCAGAAAGATACAGAAATGATAGAACAATTAAAACAGAAAACAGAAGAACTGTCAAGGTTACTGAAGGAAGAGAGAGAAATAAACGAAAAACACAGAACGACACAAACAAAAAAAGAAATGACAGAAAAAGAGAAAGAAATAACAGAACTCCAAAAAGAAACAGCAGGACTTAAAGAGGAAACTGAAAAATTAAAACAGGAAGTGGAAAGCTTGAGAACAAGGTAATCATGAAATTCAATACAATCATCATCCTCATTTGTTGAATGAACATAATCGTTGGATTTACGTCAATTTGAACAACAGTTATATACCACAATAATAATAATACTGAAACAAAGCACAGTCCTCCTACTTGTGTAATGCATTTCATCTAATAAGTTATCATTACGAACGGGCCAGTACTGTCCATTCAAAAAATATGTCAATTGTGTTTCTTAATTATGAAAATTTAACAGTTTTTAAAATACATAATGCTTCATCGGTATAACTGGAGGTTATCCAGTTTTACTTGTTTTCCCATATGTTGATTACTACATGTACTGTACAGTACCAAAACATTGGTATAACTGAAGGTTATCCAGTTTTACTTGTTTTCCCATATGTTGATAACTACATGTACTGTACAGTACCAAAACATTGAAACAGATGCGATTAAAAGTAGAGTACCTTATTTTCATCGTGTCCGAATAAATATTCCAAAAATATATGTCAATGTATGTTCAGTCATTGTCTACACTTTACACAAGGTCTTTCCGTGAATTGAGCATGCTTAAACTATTAATCACTCCAGACGTTACGCAATCCATTAATAGCTAATCAATAAATCTAATTTTTTGCCTGTGTTTTGAAAGGAAGAAAACCTTTGGAATTGATTAAAAAAAATCCTTTTTATTACAACTCATCTTGAACTACAATCCCTATTGGCTTTGAAAACAGAAATGGTATATATCGATCAAGATTTGGTATCTATCCCTTCGAGAATTTTTGAGGAGCAAATAGAATTCAATAATATATCGCTCTCGGGTCTGTTAACTTCAATGACATTCTTACGGAAACACTCTGAAATATAAATACTACGTTTGCTCCGTGTGTTCATTTTCTGAAATTAAGAGACTATTGTGCATAGCATAGTAAGCGCCCACTTTTTGATTGACATATTTAATTTTTGAAAAGCACAGTTAAGTTTCATTGATCAGCATTTACCCTTTGACATGTCTCGTCGCCCATTTATATTACAAATCATATATACCACGTCTTACTCATTTAAAATATTTAATGCACTCAAAGTGTTCGTGCATCAAATACGGTAATTCGTAAAGCGTACTATATATATAACATGTTTTATTCGCTAAAACAGTATGTATTATACACCCCTTTAAATTAAATTGTCCTTATTTTGAGTTACAGCCTATAGAATTTTCTATAATTTTGATATAATTTGTCCCAATGGTTGTACACTACACTGTAAATATTTTTTTGGGATAGAGCAGGTGCGATTTTTGAAATTTGCTTTTTCTGTCAAAAATAAATGCACTACGAAATAATTGTTTTCTCTGACCATTGTTTGTTATATGACTGTTTTGTTTTACTAACGTCATTCTGTCGGGCTGTTCAATATAATTTTTATAAGAATTCTTCGACTGCTTTATAAATTGTTTATATATTCCGTTGTCATTTTGGGACCTTTTTCAGCCGACTGTGCGGTATGGGTTTTGCTCATTGTTGAAGGCCGTACGGCGACATATAGTTGTTAACTTCTATGTCATTTTGTCTCTGGTGGGGAGTTGTCGCATTGACAATTATACCACATCTTCTTATTTTTATATTTATGTTTTATTATTTACATTTTCATTGTTATGCTATTATATTTATAAAGTCTAAGTAAAGCTGCAGGAGAGAAGTTGACAGATGGTAACCCTACAATTACTGATCTTAGTGATCCGAATCGTCCTCAGAAACTATGTGAAAAATTCAACAGCTTGTATGACAACTTATGGACTGATGCCTTTGAACATGTTTTCAAAGATGAAAATAATGAGAAATTAGCCGCCGGAAGACTAGTAGATATATTCAGGGTAAATAAAGAGTATTGTTGTGTATAATTCTTACTAATTGTGATTCTACTTTTTTACCTTGAATTTCATTTTTACTTGTTATAACATTATTCAAATCTTTCTTCTGATTCTAAATGTATCAATATTTTTGTGTTTTAAAAGTTTTCCTTTAAACGCAAGATCTCAGTCAAACTATGATTTAATAATTAAATAAATATTTTCAAATATGTGTTCCAAAGTATACATTTAGAACACATATTTTCTTAACTTTTACGATCAATCACATGATAATTACATAAAAAAATGTGAACAACAAAACAAATAAATATAGAATATAAGCAAACATCAATAATCATTTGAAGCAGCTGCTATGAATTAAATTTCAGAAATGCTGGGAGTTTTGTTGCAATTGCGCTGATCATCAGCTTGAAATATTACAAGAAAAGTTTGTGCGTCCAGAAGTTATCACGGAAGAAATGAATAGACATGTACGTTCACTGTTTCATATCAAAAAGGGAAAATAAAGAAAAATGACAAACCTTCCATCAATTATAAGTGATAGGAAAAAAAAATAACGAAAAAGACGTAAACAAAAATATATACAACAAACGTTATGTAATTAATGGAACTTGGATGTTCTACTTGTATTTCAATTATTGCATAGAATATCGTATTAGGATATTAATTGAAATCATATATAACTTGCTTAAGTTGTAAAACTTGTGTCTCATCCATTTGTTTAGTTTCTGAACAATAAAATATGTTTAAACTATAACTTGCTTGATAACAAAATTATTCTAATTCTGTTAACTATCATATTAAGGTTATTGACTGACTTAGGGTTGCTCTAGTTATTGGGTACAATGTCACTTTTCCACGAAGCGAAAATCTTGTAAGAGCCTTTGATGTGACAAATTCTTAATAAAAAAATCTACGAATGAAAGAAGATGTGAGATACACGCCAATAGGACAGTTAGCTTACGACAAAAAGACATCTCGAGGTCAGCTTTAGGTATGCATTACATTATGTAAAGTTCCAAATCGTCTTTCGGTATGCATTACATTATGTAAAGTTCCAAATCGTCATAGTCTGAAATAATTTGATTTTTTAAGTGACAATAAAGATCAGATCTGCTCTCTCCTCCTCAAATGACAAAAAGACATTAAGATATAACAAAAGATAACCACTACCGACGAGATTATAAACTTTATAAAGACACCCGCACACGTGGAGATGTTAAATATGTAAATATTTTTCTTCTTATATACTAGGTATGTGATTTTGTGTTAAAGTTGATTTTACTATCCACAGGGGTTAATACAGACATTCTCGAAGTCAGAACTGAAAATGATAAAAGATGCAAGAAAAGCAGTTGCAAAGCATACATTGGTTAATTTAACACAGGTAATAAATTCAATTATATCTTATCAATAATATGGTTACCAATCCCTCCTCCCACACAAACACACTCCTCTCAAAACCGGAAATGACCACAAATGTCTCATACGGATTAGAATATTGTGCTTCGCATGTGATTATTAACTAAAAATACGGAAGTTAAAGAAGAGACTAATTAAAATCGACTATATTCTTAATATAAGATTGAAGGAATGTAGATGGTTTGGTGTAAATGAGGTAATTCAACCACTATAATAAGCAACTTCTTGAATATATTCATCTTTTAACAGCTGTTCTCTACAGCATTCATTTATTCATTCACTAGTTTTTGGTAGGTCCTCGACAATGCCTTTTTAAAATATTGTTATGCCCCCGCAACTGAAAGTTGGGGGGCATATTATTTTACCCCTGTCCGTCCGTCCGTCCCATTATGGGTATATAGCTATTCCAGATAACTCCTCCTAGTTTAAATGCTAGGAAGTTTTCACTTTGCTGGCTGTTTGTACATATATTGAAGGTGTGCATGTGGTCAGGGTTTTGATTTTTATTGATTTTTGCTCTTTTGGGAGATAGTTGAACTTTGTCATTTTTGGAGTATATACTTGCATAAGAGGTGCATAGCGTTTCCGGATAACTCCTACTACGGTGAACCATAGACCTATGTGATCCCATGCTCAACTTTGTGTATTTTAAAATAACACTTCGCATCTGCGGGGGCATCATTTGTGTCTCCTAGACACAATAATATCTCAAAGAAAGTCCTGCATTGACTTTGTTATAATACAGTTACTTCAGAGTGGAATGCGGGGGCATCACTTTGTCTAGTTTTGTGTTTTGTTGTCCAAATATAGTTATCCTACATTATTTGATGTTATGATCATTTAGTGTCTATAGATGTATATAGTGTGTTGTCAGTGAATTTATTGTTTAAACGACTTTTGTTTGTTTAAGTTTTACTGGAAAACGAAAGCAAGACAGAAAGAGGTAATACGACCGTACGTAGATGCTTGTTTGGAAATTTGCTGGTATGCTGCTATTAATGACCCAAAACTGGACTTTAATTTCGAGCCAATAAAGAACAAAGAAGATTTCAGAGGTTATACAAAGTCAGGAAAATTTGTAGACTATATAGTATGGCCAGCCATGTATCTCCATACTGATGGGCCATTACTTTATAAAGGTGTTGTGCAGCTGAAAGATAACGAGGGAGAAAGAGAACAAATGTGAAATAAATATTGTTGATTTTATAATTAAATATCGTTTATTAAATAATAGTTTAATTTTTTCTCGCCATATTTGTGATTTTGCATTTAGGAATAATCACATTTTCTATAAATTTTATTAAACTGTTATCTCAAGTTTTAATTATTTGAAAGGAATGGAATATAGCACATGACTCAAAGTTCACCCAGTTCATTTTTAGACAATGCCGGAGGAAAAGGATAAAAGTAATCGATTTGCGGAAAAGCCTCTCAAAGTATTTAGTTATGCTTCTGTTATTTTTTTTTTATTTGAAAAAAAATATGTCTTTATTGTCGAAACAGCAAATTTATATAGTGTCAATATTAGAAAAAGCAACTGAAAGCAGACCGGGTAGCGCACAAACAACATACAAATTATGCTGTTTGGGTTGCTCACCCAATTTTGTCGACATAACGGAACTATAAACAACTGTCATACAAGTAGGAGGTTTGGCTAGCTATAAAACAACTGTTTTTCACTCGTTCCGTTGGTTGATAACGTTTGGTTTTGGCAGCTTTTATGGACTTCCCCTTATTTTGAATTTACCTTGGGGTTCGGCATTTTTGTTATGCTTTTTAATGCTCACATGCAAAAATTTTCCACGGTCTAGATTTATTGATTGACCAATTGTATGGACACAAGTCTATTGTTAGCAATTGTAAATATTTCGGGGGATTTTTCCCCTTTCTTTGTAGTAGAATACATGAGTAAAATGCGTATGGTGTTTATATTAAACATATAATTATGCTATCTAATTCAAAAGCCTGTGTCAAGTTACTATAAAGATTTCATTGATATAACTTTCTTACAGAACTATCCAGGCAGGGCTTTTAGCACGCTTCATTTTTATTGTCACTATAAAATTTAGCTTTTTGTCGGCATTTTTAGTTGACCGGTATGAGGTAAAGTGTCTGATAAATTTTTGAAAACTTGTTTCATGGATGCTTAGCCTTCTCGTTTTGGTATAGGTCAACATCCAATATTTATACATAGATTTTAAAACCCCAATCTCTTAATCCCTACTTGGTATAGTTTTGTTTTTACTTGCTCTTGTCTTATATTGTCAACTTACTGTAAAGCACGGAATCAAATAAAGCGAAAATTGTTTGGTATATATGTGCTGTTCTTATTTAAGCAAACCAGGGTAGATAGTATACAGGTAGTGTCGTAGTAAAACATCTAATACGCGGAAGTCTTAAATTGAAATACTAGGGTTCTTAATTCTTTTTTTAAATAAGCTGTTTGATAAACTCTCGACTGGATTACGTATAAAACCAGACATTCGGGGACCGCCCACAACATCCATATAGAAGATGCGTCTCTTCCTTGCACTTTAGCAACAGCAACAAACGACTATATATGCCATGCAAAACTGTCTACGTATGTATTTGGCAACGGCACTTAATGAAAACATAACCGATGCTGGACTCCTTAATTTTTGGCATCACGCACTCAAATGCGAGTCTTTTATTTTTTGTCTTCTTCAATGATTTACACCTTCAAGCTTGTAAGATTGCGATAAATAAAAAAAATCGGGTCAAAGCTGGATGAAAATAAAAACCCATTTATTGAGAGAAAGAATTTTGTCTCATCTGTCGAAGAATGTGAGACATAGGAATGCTAATCTGGCGATGACTGTTAACTATGTGTATAAAGCTTTATAATTCAGAAGGTAGAAGATTTGGATACTTCATACCTTGTATATAGAGGTATTATGTTAAGAGAAGTTTACGTCTGGCATATGCCCATTGCCCTTGACCTTATTTTCATGGTTTAGCGACTATTTGAAAAACTTGAATGTTTTTTTATTGTCGAATGCATTTCTGACATATACTGTACATTAAAACAGCTATTTTTCATGATTATAGCACATGTATTTTGTCTGTGAACCCAAATTTTACATTTTAGTATTAGACCAAATAACCTTGTAAAATTGTTAATTATACTGTTCATATAATAGATGTGCACATTTAAGGTATTGAATTGTTTTATTCTCCGCAAGAAAGCTAAATACTAGTAGTTTATATATGCATTTAATGTCATTTGGTCTCTGGTGGAAAGTTGTCTCATTGGCAATTATACCACATCTTCTTATGTTTATATTTCAATATTAACTTAACTACCTTTCCCATGCTTATTTAGTGAACCATCGAGGAATTTGTTTAGAAACTTGATAGATAAATTGGGATATGTACTGATGAAGCACATATTTTTTAAACACACTATGAGACTTTTCTTTTTTCGAGATTCGAAAGAACAAGCTGACAAGTGTATTCAAGATTCGTCATTCAATATTTAATTAGTCTCACCACTTGTAGTACAAAAACATACAGTGCTTATTGGTAAAATAATTTCGAAATAATAAAATGTAAAGATAATACAATAAAACAAATGCAATAAACACAGTCACATAGATTCTAAATCAATAAAATCAAATAATTAGTATACCCAAATCCAGAAAACATAAATCCATTAGAGACATGGTTGTATGTTCCTATACAATTATCCCTTATCGTTCTATTTATATTGGACTACTCCTTGATACAAAAGTGGACCGTTTTCATGCAAGTACATTGCCGGCCAGACAATAAAGTCCATCTCGTCACCATTTTTTGTATATCCCCTGAAGTCGTCAAGATTATCAGCGATAAATGAATAATATAGAGGTGGATCAGTAATCGCACTGTACCAAAAGAGTTCGAGGCAGGCGTCTACATAGGGTTTCAATGTTTCTTCTTTTTTGTGGTCTTTATTCATTTCCTTTTCCCAGAAGTGCTACAAAATACAAGAACTATATTACAAAATTAAAAAGCGAAGCTCAACATTTTTATTCAACTTAACGGTTAGGAATATCAGGACTTGAAAAGAAATTGAACAAATCGTTGACTATCAAAACTTGAAAAATTGCAACACATATGTATAATTGAGTAAAATAGACTCAAATCATATAAAAATTATAATTTTAATCTATATAAGTGTCTTACTTGACATAGCAATGGAATAAACGTTCGAGCACATGACCGCCTTGCGTCGGTGAGGTGTTTTGTGTAAGCACTTGAGTCTTCTTTCATCTCAGTCTTCCAAAAAACCAAAAATGAGAATGAACACAGTACTCATGACATGTTAATTGACAACACATGAAAAGGTTTACATTGTTGGGTTTTTTTCGGTTTGTTTTTTAGTATATGTCTGAGTTCTATAAATACTTGGAGTTTTGTCATATTTGGGCCTTTACAACGAAAATGAAAACATTTATAGATTAAGATTAATGTATAAATACGAAATCATTCATGGGAGCTTGAATTTATCGTGATTTTACCACGGGTTGGCCCTTTACGCTAAATATTTTACCACGAGCGATAGTAAAATATCAGCATAAAGGATCAACCCGTGGTAAAATAAATATAAATTCAAGCTCTCATGAATTATTTCTATTCTAAAAGGACAAAGAATCGAAGCGCTCCATGTGAAGGGAAAAGCTTGCTGTTCCCTAATTCAACACACTATCAATATTGACGTAAACGATGAAGGTAATTGAATAAATGACATTCTTAAACGATATACAATAACATACTAAGACAGATTTGGATGATTTTAATTGACTATCTTACTTTCAGTTAAGAAGATGGACACTATACAAATTCTAACCATCGTGTGTTTATGCTTTCATGTTTTGACGACTTTCAGCGAGTTAAGAGTTTTTGCTCCGTGTCGAAGGCCTCACTGTGACTTTTAGATGCAGAGCAGCAATAAAAGCACTGTTTTTTGTGCTGTGTTGTGTTGTGCATGGATACCATATCCTTTCTTTTCAATTGAAAGACGTAGAAGTTAGCAACTATAAGTTACCGTACTAACGGCCTGATTATGTTCAAAACAATAAACGAAAAGCAAATATGATATACAGCAACAACCACTCAACCTGACTTGGGATAGACACATACAGAATGTGGTTGTGTAAACCATGTTTGCCGGAGCTCAACACTTTCCTGAACGAGAAACAGAGGTGTAACAGCACATAGTAAGAACAGGAGCCTGTAATTCAGGTATTGTCGTTGTTACCAAATACCAAATAACCTTCCGCCCTTTTTAAACAATTAAAAACGAATCCGGCAGACACACTACTTAATAAATGTTATTCATTAATCACAAATGCATTACAGTGTTAGTATGGAACTTACGTACAGATAGCGTAACAGGTAACTGAGCTTCCATACAAGCTTTTTGTAAACTGGAAAACTGGTGTTTTGAAAGTCCAGAACAATATATCCAGCATGCCTGAAAAAAATAATAATAAGGTAATCATAAACATTTAACAATCTGACTTGGTTAAAATAAACTTAAATAGAATACTGTGGGTCTAATTATTTTCGTGGGTATGATTTTCGTTAGATATCTGATTTCGCGGTTTTGACAAAGTCTGCATACAAGCCTGTAGAAAATTTGTTAATTGCTGATCATTTAAATTCGTGGTCCACCTTTAACCACGAATTCCAGGAAAATTAGTATCCAACGAATAATAATGAATCACAGTACTTTAAAAATGTTTATACCTCCGATATATCCAACAAAACTTTACATATAGATTTTTCGTCTTTTTTCTTCGCTAACAGGATTTCGAATGCATCAGTCCATGAGTTATCGTATAGACAGTTGAATTTCTCTGCTAGTCTCTGCGGTCGGTTTGGGTCACTCAAATCGGTGACAAAAGGATTTCCGTCCATCATTCTGTCCCCAGCTACTTTACTCAAACTAAAATAACATGTAAATACAGTCTCACATTAGATGTAGTATACCTGATTGGGTCAAAAGTAACAAAGGTAATTAAAACATATCTAAGTGGTTTTTCATTTGATTTCCACAGAACGTCCATTGTTACGGATAAAAAATTATAAATAATAACTTAGGTTTTACTATTTGTAATATAGTAATTATTCTAAGCATATATTGTCATGGATATAAATTGAATGGAGGAATGATATCTAAAGATCATGTGCACGTCTAAAGGAAGCGAGCTCGTCAGTAATTAGTTACTTTTGTAAACATAAAAATGTAATGCGAAGTTGTTAATTCAGACCAACACCAGGGGCGGATCCAGCCATTTTTAAAGGGGTTCCAACCAAGGACAAAGGGGAGGTTCCAACCATATGTCCCCATTCAAAAGCATTGATCGTCAAAACAAGGGGGTTCCAACCCCGGGAACCCCCCCCCCCCCCCCCCCCTGGATCCGCCACTGAACACGTAGTTACAATTCTTTCAATATGAGCTGAAATCGAAGTTTTTGTTGCCTTGATTCTTTGTTCCAATTCTTGTTTGATTTTTTCGAATTTGAACTACACACCTTATTTTCAAATGATCGACTTACCTTGTTCTCAAACGATCGACTTCTTTTCCAAGATCCTCCTTCTCTATGGTTATTTTGTCAATTTCATGTTTCAGTCTGTCATTTTCATCTCTTAAAGTTTTATCAAGATTTTTCCCATGAGCATGTTTCAAATCTGAAATCATCTTTTCATGTCCATGATTTATCTTTTCTCTTTCAGCTTTTTCCTGTTTAAGCAATTTTTTCATTACTGATAATTCCTTTTCCAATTCGTCTATCTTCTTGTCTTTCCTCTTTGATTCTCTATTATATAGAAACATAAATCCTAAATCATTACTTGAATTTGGAAGGGTTAATCAGTATCCCTACAGTTTGTACTCATATCACATAACCCAATAAAGACAGAGAAAAACAATTCTCCTTAATCTGCTCATCAGGACTATAGATACAGAATGTGTTCCCTTTGATTAGTTTCACGAAATAGACATTGATTTCTTTTGTCGTTTTTTGTGTTAAAATTTTAAAAAATAATTTAAATACTGTCTTCATGGGGAAAAAATGAAACTTTTACGGTTTGCCAGCATATCAATTGCTTTTTAGATAAAGTCGTAAACATTTCAAAATTGGCCATTTTACACATTGTTTTTGTCGAATTAAGATATATGACCACTGCTGTAAGCCTGTGTATTACGAGATTTTCAAAGTCTAATAACATCAAAAGCAGCAAAATTACTGAATAAAAGAGACATGGCATTTTGTCGTTTACCAAAGGGAAACGTCGTTCACAGCAACAATATTTATTATTTCATTGCATTTAATAGAAAATTGGAATTTTGTGGCAAATCAAGCTAAGATTTTTACAGAAAATCCATAGACTTTATTACAGAGCTTTCCGTTCTAACATTTTAAACATATATTACACACTGTCCATGTTGTGCTGGCGTTTATTGTTTACAAAAAGCCATGAAATACCTTTACAATCCAAAAATCTTCGTGCTGAGTCACTCAAGTCGAGCGCACGCTAGAAGGTGTACTTGAATAGGTCCATATTTGTACTTGTTTTAACTAATATGATATCTTTATTTAAAAACTTGCTTTTATGAGAAATCATTGCTAGCAAGCACAGCATGCAGTAATCTCCTATAAGGTACATACTTGTCAAATATAAGAGTACAAGGGGAAATTATGTGGATGTTTTACAAAATTTCCATATGTTTAGCATTGAAGTAACAAAGGGGTCCTCAAACATGCGTCACAGTCTTACCCAAATAATTTACGAACATCAACTTATTTCAATAAAGCATATTTTAAAAATATAAATAAGATCTCAAAATGAGACTAGCAATTTGGGGTTATGCAGTGATCTTAAATTTAAATGCAAGACGTTTGAAGTCCTAGTCCTCGGCAAATTATGTAAGCAAATATATAAATACTGATATATGTCAAACCAATGTTTTGTTAACAACTGAACAATACTTTTAATACTTTTTGAATACTTTTTGATTTCGAATTTAAGGGCCAAAAAGTGATGATAATAACCTTATCATACTTTTTTTTATAGTCTTTCAAAATACATGTTGGGGATAAATATATGTTGCTTTTAAACATATGTGTAATTTGAAATCTTATATTTCTCTGTTTAACCGCAGAGCAAAACATAGTTGCTTTTGCTCCTTAAGGAGGGGGTATTCATTCGCCCTTTCTTGGTCAAGATTCATCAGAAATCTCAATTAAAAAAAGGAAATATTCTGTTGGAATACACTTCGGTTACATTTCTTTCCCTTTCTTTTACGGTTTGGAACATATTATTTGTGACATGTACAGAATAAAAGTACCTCTTTTCTTCCTCCAAACGTGTAGCAACATTCGAGTCGTATACAGGCTTACCCTGTTAAAGACAATAAATGAAATGCTTTATAATAATTGGTACCTTGGTTAAACTGAATTAAACATGTGTATACTTCATTGTTCGGTAGATTACTGGTGTCGTAAATGTAGGTAGAATAAAGTCAGAATCAAAACTAAAATGTTTGTATTGCTCGCATTAAACATGAAAAATCTGTCTATTTCATAAAAAAAAACTGTTGACGTATACACCATGTATATCTTGTTTTAGAAAGGAAAAAACGTAAAATTGGAGAGTCTGATTCTAATAACAAAATACATTATCTGTACCTCACTATCATAAACAAGCAGTTTGGACTATTTTATTGACAACATAAAATTATGTGTTCCGTTTGATGGATACCATTTCGCTACTTGTTCTTTTATTCGACTGTGAAAGATTTCATACAGGGTGTTGTTTAGAAAAATAAAAACAAGCTAGCACTATCATAATAGTGTCGAGGAAATGAATATTCAAACAGAAATAGGTACGTTATATTATAGAAAAATATCTAACGAAACTACATTAACAAGCTACGCACGGGTGATAAATCATGATTTTTTTTTTTGGAATAGTGTGACCTGAACCTGGGTCACCATTCCGAATGTTTTAACCTAGGACTAATCCGTAGCTCTTTGGTCCGCAAATTGTCAAAAAGTATCATAAAGACCATCAGAGCGGTTCCGCGGCTAACTCAGGTGGTAAGTTAAACCCTGAAAAGCCAATTCATTTAAAACTAATAAAAACATAACACTGCAAGAAACTTGCAAACCAGCCTCAAAATGAACAATAATTGGTTTTTAATCTTGGTGTTCGACATTTTAATCATGTTTTGAAGTACAATAAATGTGCTAGGGTGCAAGTATAAGATTATTTGTAAAGAAAAGAAACAGAGCCTATAGCAATGGGATTATCAAAAACTACAAGTCGAAGAAAGACTAGTAAATCAATGGACAAACAACAATCCACAAAAACTAATGATTACGCAACACGAATTCTGGCAAAATCAAGGGGAACTCCTGCATGTGCCAAAAAAAGTAAGCAGCCCTTGCTCCACTAGTGGTACCCTTCATGTTTAATATTTATCCAACGCAATCATAGGTTTGAACGTTGTTTTCAATTTAGACTTGTTTATATTTTTTCGTTTGAGCTTGTATTATATTTGCCTTCGGGTTTATATGATCCGTTCATCCTATTTTGACTCCTCAAAATTCAAGAGTCTATCCCAAATTGAGGTAAATTATATGGCCTTCCAAATACCGTTTCGATTCCTAACATCACTGAAGAGACATTAATTGTCGAAATCCGGATATGGTGTACTAATTTTTGCACCTCATGTTTACGGTATACCATCTTTTCCGCAAGTTAATTGTTTTCTGTTTGGTATTAAATTAATAGTTAAGATCCATTTTGTTACATCTGGTGATCCGTTTATTTGGCAATCGCCAATGGCAGTCGGCAGGGTTTGAGAACATCCATTGTTCGACCTGCTAGTCAAATGCGTTTTGTTAAAATATACTTTTTCACTTTTTTAGTCGTTTGGAAAATGTTGTTTGTGCTGTATTTAGACCCCTCTACCAAGAAATTTGTTTTGCATGCACACGTATAAAAATTGCGGTTTTTATCCAACGCAATCATAGGTTTGAACGTTGTTTTCAATTTAGAATTGTATATATATATATAAATAAGTATAAATTGAAAACAACGTTCAAACCTATGATTGCGTTGGATAAAAACCGCAATTTTTATACGATTGCATGCAAAACAAATTTCTTGGTAGAGGGGTCTAAATACAGCACAAACAACGTTTTCCAAAAGACCAAAAAAGTGAAAAAGTATATTTAAACAAAACGCATTTGACTAACAGGTCGAACAACGGATGTTCTTAAACCCTGCTGACTGCCCATGGCGATTGCCAAATAAACGGATCACAAGATGTAACAAAATGGATCTTTATTATTAATTTAATACCAAACAGAAAACAATAAACTAGTGGAAAAGAGGGTATACCGCAAACATCAGGTGCAAAAATTTGTACACCATATCCGGATTTCGACAATTGATGTCTCTTCAGTGATGTTAGGAATCGAAACGGTATTTGAAAGGCCATATAATTTACCTCAATATATATATATATATATATATATATATAAATATACAAGTCTAAATTGAAAACAACGTTCAAACCTATGATTGCGTTGGATAAAAACCGCAATTTTTATACGTGTGCATGCAAAACAAATTTCTTGTTAGAGGGGTCTAAATACAGCACAAACAACATTTTCCAAAAGACCAAAAAAGTGAAAAAGTATATTTTAACAAAACGCATTTGACTAACAGGTCGAACAACAAATGTTCTTAAACCCTGCTGACTACCATTGGCGATTGCCAAATAAACGGATCACCGATGTAATAAATGGACCTTAATTATAAATAAATATTATAAATATATATATATATACAACTCGTCTAAACATCAGTCCAACAATGTTAGATCTGTAAATATGCTTTCGCAAATTTTTTTGTTCTTCCCTCGCCGGGATTCGAACTCATGCTACTGAGATATCGTGACACCAAATCGCCTGCACTGTTTCCGACGTGCTAGCCCACTCGACCACCTAGGCTTCAAAAAATAAAGCTTTCGGTGGCCGGGTGTTACCTTTCCTCGTCAGTTTTAATCTAGCGTCGTAATACAGTACATGATATATAAGGCATGAGGATGGAATTGTTACAGATCAGCTGAAATATCTATTGTAAAGGATCCTACAAATTAATGCAAGATACAGTGACAGAAATAATTATATTCATAAGTACGTCTGAACCAGTGACAACTCTACAACAGATTTGTCCATCGGATCACCAGCAGTGATGGTGATACATGGATGTGTACATTCTGTATATACAACTCGTCTTAACATCAGCCCAACAATGTTAGATCTGATATATATATATGTATATATATATATAGGTTGTATTTGCTGATCACGAGGTCGAAGAAAGGCTGACGATATTGTCACCACGATAAGTAGATCATATCCGTGATAATCTGATTCATATATTCGAAAGCAGTCAACCAAATATAATCATGATATATAAATTAGGCCGTTAGTTTCCTCGTTTGAATTGTTTTACATTTGTCATTTCGGGGCCTTTTATAGCTGACTATGCAGTATGAGTTTTACTCATCGTTGAAGGCCGTACGGTGACCTATAGTTATTAACTTCTGTGTCATTTCGTCTCTTGAGGGGATTTGTCTCATTGGCAATCTTACCACGTCTTCCTAATTTTATATGATGGTGTCTGTTACCACTTTCGAAGTGATGGATTAAATTTTACCATGGTGAACAGTATGTTTCATAACTCCCTTGTAAGCAGCAAGCCGATCTGATTGAAATACAGATCATATGTCCGTGCTTTACACACAAGAAGACAAAGCGTGGACACACAATCTGTTTTTATCAGATTTGCAGCAACCAAACTATCTATCAATAATTCCTAATAGGAAATAAAAGCTCTTGAATGTCGCATTAGCTGGGAGATTCACAAGAATACATATAACCTCCATACGCTGGAATATTGCTACATAAAAATGGAAATTTTCAAACCTAAATTTTCCTGTGCATTTGAATATGAACTGTAACACTTATGTAAGTGATCAAGTAAGTTATAAAAAAGGCATCAAAGGACAAGAAAAAAATGACAGCTGCAAACAACAGTACATCAATTTGCATTCAGCTAATTGAAAGAAGAAATAAAAATAGATTGAGACAGTATAGGGTTTTTTTTTATTTGGCTCAACCAATGGCAAGTAATTCAGGTCATTTTTTTCAATTTGCTTTATCGTTTTCGAGTGATTGAATGCACCAATCATAGGTACTCGTTCTCAAGAGAAGAAATATATTATTACTTACGCCTGCATGGTTAACTGTCTTTTGCTTAAGCCTAAAAAGTATAAATGATGCATGTAATTTTGAATGTCCCTTTGGTATCTTTCACCTATTCAAAATTTAAAAGTTCATCGCTTTTCAACTACATAATTCCTGTTATAAATCGCTGATTACAGATTTAAATCTAATACCAAATAGAAAACAAAAAACTTGCGGAAAAGAGGGTATACCGCAAACATGAGGTGCAAAAATTTGTACACCATATCCGGATTTCGACAATTAATGTCTCTTCAGTGATGTTAGGAATCGAAACGGTATTTGGAAGGCCATATAATTTACCTCAATTTGGGATTGACTCTTGAATTTTGACGAGTCGAAATAGGATGAACGGATCATATAAACCCGAAGGCAAATATAATACAAGCCCAAACGAAAAAAATAAACAAGTCTAAATTGAAAACAACGTTCAAACCTATGATTGCGTTGGATAAAAACTGCAATTTTTATACGTGTGCATGCAAAACAAATTTCTTGTTAGAGGGGTCTAAATACAGCACAAACAACATTTTCCAAAAGACCAAAAAGTGAAAAAGTATATTTTAACAAAACGCATTTGACTAGCAGGTCGAACAACGGATGTTCTTAAACCCTGCTGACTGCCATGGCGATTGCCAAATAAACGGATCACAGATGTAACAAAATGGATCTTAATTTTAATCTAATACCAAATAGAAAACAAAAAACTTGGGGAAAAGAGGGTATACCGCAAACATCAGGTGCAAAAATTTGTACACCATATCCGGATTTCGACAATTAATGTCTCTTCAGTGATGTTAGGAATCGAAACGGTATTTGGAAGGCCATATAATTTACCTCAATTTGGGATTGACTCTTGAATTTTGAAGAGTCGAAATAGGATGAACGGATCATATAAACCCGAAGGCAAATATAATACAAGCCCAAACGAAAAAATATAAACAAGTCTAAATTGAAAACAACGTTCAAACCTATGATTGCGTTGGATAAAAACCGCAATTTTTATACGTGTGCATGCAAAACAAATTTCTTGTTAGAGGGGTCTAAATACAGCACAAACAACATTTTCCAAAAGACCAAAAAGTGAAAAAGTATATTTTAACAAAACGCATTTGACTAGCAGGTCGAACAACGGATGTTCTTAAACCCTGCTGACTGCCATGGCGATTGCCAAATAAACGGATCACAGATGTAACAAAATGGATCTTAATTTTAATCTAATACCAAAAAGAAAACAAAAAACTTGCGGAAAAGAGGGTATACCGCAAACATGAGGTGCAAAAATTTGTACACCATATCCGGATTTTGACAATTAATGTCTCTTCAGTGATGTTAGGAATCGAAACGGTATTTGGAAGGCCATATAATTTACCTCAATTTGGGATTGACTCTTGAATTTTGAAGAGTCGAAATAGGATGAACGGATCATATAAACCCGAAGGCAAATATAATACAAGCCCAAACGAAAAAATATAAACAAGTCTAAATTGAAAACAACGTTCAAACCTATGATTGCGTTGGATAAAAACCGCAATTTTTATACGTGTGCATGCAAAACAAATTTCTTGTTAGAGGGGTCTAAATACAGCACAAACAACATTTTCCAAAAGACCAAAAAGTGAAAAAGTATATTTTAACAAAACGCATTTGACTAGCAGGTCGAACAACGGATGTTCTTAAACCCCGCTGACTGCCATGGCGATTGCCAAATAAACGGATCACAGATGTAACAAAATGGATCTTAATTTTAATCTAATACCAAATAGAAAACAAAAAACTTGCGGAAAAGAGGGTATACCGCAAACATGAGGTGCAAAAATTTGTACACCATATCCGGATTTTGACAATTAATGTCTCTTCAGTGATGTTAGGAATCGAAACGGTATTTGGAAGGCCATATAATTTACCTCAATTTGGGATTGACTCTTGAATTTTGAAGAGTCGAAATAGGATGAACGGATCATATAAACCTGAAGGCAAATATAATACAAGCCCAAACGAAAAAATATAAACAAGTCTAAATGGAAAACAACGTTCAAACTTATGATTGCGTTGGATAAAAACCGCAATTTTTATACGTGTGCATGCAAAACAAATTTCTTGTTAGAGGGGTCTAAATACAGCACAAACAACATTTTCCAAAAGACCAAAAAGTGAAAAAGTATATTTTAACAAAACGCATTTGACTAGCAGGTCGAACAACGGATGTTCTTAAACCCTGCTGACTGCCATGGCGATTGCCAAATCAACGGATTACAGATGTAACAAAATGGATCTTAATTTTAATCTAATACCAAATAGAAAACAAAAAACTTGCGGAAAAGAGGGTATACCGCAAACATGAGGTGCAAAAATTTGTACACCATATCCGGATTTCGACAATTAATGTCTCTTCAGTAATGTTAGGAATCGAAACAGTATTTGGAAGGCCATATAATTTATCTCAATTTGGGATTGACTCTTGAGTTTTGAAGAGTCGAAATAGGATGAACGGATCATATAAACCCGAAGGCAAATATAATACAAGCCCAAACGAAAAAATATAAACAAGTCTAAATTGAAAACAACGTTCCAACCTATGATTGCGTTGGATAAAAACCGCAATTTTTATACGTGTGCATGCAAAACAAATTTCTTGTTAGAGGGGTCTAAATACAGCACAAACAACATTTTCCAAAAGACCAAAAAGTGAAAAAAGTATATTTTAACAAAACGCATTTGACTAGCAGGTCGAACAACGGATGTTCTGAAACCCTGCTGACTGCCATGGCGATATAGACCCCTCTAACAAGAAATTTGTTTTGTATGCACACGTATAAAAATTGCGGTTTTTATCCAACGCAATCATAGGTTGGAACGTTGTTTTCAATTTAGACTTGTTTATATTTTTTCGTTTGGGCTTGTATTATATTTGCCTTCGGGTTTATATGATCCGTTCATCCTATTTTGACTCCTCAAAATTCAAGAGTCTATCCCAAATTGAGGTAAATTGTATGGCTTTCCAAATACCGTTTCGATTCCTAACATCACTGAAGAGACATTAATTGTCGAAATCCAGATATGGTGTACAAAAACCTTTGCACCCTTTGTTTGCGGTATGTTATCTTTTCCGCAAGTTTTTTGTTTTCTGTTTAGTATTAAAAATTTAATTAAGATCCATTGATTACATCTGTGATCCCTTTATTTGGCAATCGCCAATTGCAGTCAGCAGGGTTTAAGAACATTTGTTGTTCGACCTGATAGTCAAATGCGTTTTGTTAAAATATACTTTTTCACTTTTTTGGTCTTTTGGAAAATGTTGTTTGTGCTGTATTTAGACCCCTCTAACAAGAAATTTGTTTTGCATGCACACGTATAAAAATTGCGGTTTTTATCCAACGCAATCATAGGTTTGAACGTTGTTTTCAATTTAGACTTGTTTATATTTTTTTCGTTTGGGCTTGTATTATATTTGCCTTCGGGTTTATATGATCCGTTCATCCTATTTTGACTCCTCAAAATTCAAGAGTCTATCCCAAATTGAGGTAAATTGTATGGCTTTCCAAATACCGTTTCGATTCCTAACATCACTGAAGAGACATTAATTGTCGAAATCCGGATATGGTGTACAAAAACCTTTGCACCTTTTGTTTGCGGTATGTTATCTTTTCCGCAAGTTTATTGTTTTCTGTTTAGTATTAAAAATTTAATTAAGAACCATTGATTACATCTGTGATCCGTTTATTTGGCAATCGCCAATGGCAGTCAGCAGGGTTTAAGAACATTTGTTGTTCGACCTGTTAGTCAAATGCGTTTTGTTAAAATATACTTTTTCACTTTTTTGGTCTTTTGGAAAATGTTGTTTGTGCTGTATTTAGACCCCTCTAACAAGAAATTTGTTTTGCATGCACACGTATAAAAGTTGCGGTTTTTATCCAACGCAATCATAGGTTTGAACGTTGTTTTCAATTTAGACTTGTTTATATTTTTTCGTTTGCGCTTGTATTATATTTGCCTTCGGGTTTATATGATCCGTTCATCCTATTTTGACTCCTCAAAATTCAAGAGTCTATCCCAAATTGAGGTAAATTGTATGGCTTTCCAAATACCGTTTCGATTCCTAACATCACTGAAGAGACATTAATTGTCGAAATCCGGATATGGTGTACAAAAACCTTTGCACCTTTTGTTTGCGGTGTTATCTTTTCCGCAAGTTTATTGTTTTCTGTTTAGTATTAAAAATTTAATTAAGATCCATTGATTACATCTGTGATCCGTTTATTTGGCAATCGCCAATGGCAGTCAGCAGGGTTTAAGAACATTTGTTGTTCGACCTGTTAGTCAAATGCGTTTTGTTAAAATATACTTTTTCACTCTTTTGTTCTTTTGGAAAATGTTGTTTGTGCTGTATTTAGACCCCTCTAACAAGAAATTTGTTTTGCATGCACACGTATAAAAATTGCGGTTTTTATCCAACGCAATCATAGGTTTGAACGTTGTTTTCAATTTAGACTTGTTTAATTTTTTTCGTTTGGGCTTGTATTATATTTGCCTTCGGGTTTATATGATCCGTTCATCCTATTTTGACTCCTCAAAATTCAAGAGTCTATCCCAAATTGAAGTAAATTGTATGGCTTTCCAAATACCGTTTCGATTCCTAACATCACTGAAGAGACATTAATTGTCGAAATCCGGATATGGTGTACAAAAACCTTTGCACCTTTTGTTTGCGGTATGTTATCTTTTCCGCAAGTTTATTGTTTTCTGTTTAGTATTAAAAATTTAATTAAGATCCATTGATTACATCTGTGATCCGTTTATTTGGCAATCGCCAATGGCAGTCAGCAGGGTTTAAGAACATTTGCTGTTCGACCTGTTAGTCAAATGCGTTTTGTTAAAATATACTTTTTCACTTTTTTGGTCTTTTGGAAAATGTTGTTTGTGCTGTATTTAGACCCCGCTAACAAGAAATTTGTTTTGCATGCACACGTATAAAAATTGCGGTTTTTATCCAACGCAATCATAGGTTTGAACGTTGTT